ATTCCCCATTCAAGATTTTTTTTATGCCCATTAAGACTTAAGCCTGATTTTGTTAAATCTTATGTTTTTTTAAATGGAGACCAATAGGTTGACCATGTAATCCTTGAAACCTGACTTGTTGTTTCTTTACATGTTGAAAAATAGATGCCAAGATATGAAGGGGTGATCAACAAGAGAGAAATGTCATGAGAGCACATTTTCATAGAAACCAAATAGTGGCAAGATTTTATGATTGTGGTAATCGTAAATGATGGTGCTGACAAAAACAATGTAGTGTGATGGGGGACAAAGGGCTAAAGTTTGCAACAGTGTAGGGCCAACACAAGTTAGTATAGGGAGATAGTTATAGGCAATCTTGTAGTGCTAGTAAAATAATCCTAGAGGTTAGTATCAAACCCTCATTTTTCCCTTATAAAATTTTACATGTAAAGTATTCGAAAAATAGGGATTTTAGATTAGCAATTATGGGATACAGACCAAGCTATACCTTGCGAAACATATTTGCATGTAGGGAGTTATTGGAGGAGGGCCTCTGTTGGAGAGTTGGAAACAAGCAAAGTATTTCTATTTAGTAAAAAAAATGGGTATTAAATAAAATGGGTGGTATGGTTAGTATGCTAAGACCTTTGTGTCCTTATGGCCCTTGTTGCTAACTTCATCGATCTACAGAGACCCCATTGAAGAATGGACATTATCAATCATATTTTTCTGCCACATGATGCATATCGTATCAGCTCTATTTCACTGAGTATAAGGTTATCTTCGAATAAAGTTATATGTATGCATGATAAAGAATGTGAATATAAAAATAATATAAAGCTTGAATCAAACATTGTTATCACACTACTGACCCTTTTATAAATACTGGCAAAGTCCTTTGTAAGCAAATTTAGGTTGCTCCAGCTTTCCTGACATACTTGGTGTAGAGATTGTCAAAAGATATAATACCAGTTAGATAGAGAATAATGCAAAAAGGTTTGCAGATCAACTAAGTTTACTCTATGTGTGGGGAGGGGGATGAGATAACGAATCATTTATTTTATGGTTGTGACTATGCTGAGAATTATCTTCTCTATAGAATAAGCCTTTGCTTGCACATTACTTTTATGACTGGATTAAAGATGCCCTCTTTTTAATATTGGAGAAATTTTGATTTATGTATCTATTATGTAGTATTTGGTGGATTAAAAATCAATGCATCCATTAGAGAAAATGAGTATGATCCCATCTCTTTACTCTAGAATCTACAATGACATATTTGTGAGATACAAAATCTTCAAGAATTGATGTCACATAATCTACAGAACTAATCACCAACAACGACAAAAGCATAAATGGGCCCTGCCTCTGATTAAAGTAAACACTAATGCCTCAATTGGACAAGATGGATGGATTGTTCTTGGTATAATGGGATGGAGTGCAAATGTTGGATATTGTATTTGTGGCCATACGTAGGATACCCACACAACCAATCATACCTCGGCTAGGGAGGCTCTTTCTATTTCAAATGACTATTGGATGGTTTATGATTTACCACTGTGTTTGCCATCCCATATTTCTTTAAGATAGTTGGATTTTATCGTAATTTTATTAAATTTTGTATATTATAATATAATGATTTATTTAATTTATTATTATGTATTTGTAATGTAAATAATTTTTAATTTCTATAAAAATTAAAAATAAAAATATAATTAATTTTCATAATAATATTCTAAATTAATAATATAAATGCTCGTATATATCATTTTTATTAAGTCATTTCATCATATATTAATTAAAATATTTTACATGTTATATTTTCTAAAACTAACTCATTATGTTCACACTCATTACATTCTTTGATTTCTATGGTAATAAAATGTTTATTATTATATATATCAATCTTAGCTACATGAAAACAAAATTAGCTAAGATAATCTTAATATTACAATAGCAAAAAGTGCTCACATTTATATTATTTATGTAAATTGATAAAAAAATAGTTAACCTTATAAATTAAACAATAGAAGTAAAATATTATATATTACTTTCTTACAATTCTATATGATATTTTACTATATTATGTCATGATCATTAATTCTAAAATTGCTACTTCTTAAAGTTGTTTATTTTATTTTTTTCTTTACTCAATGAAATTTATTTGTGGAAGTTTTAAATTATCAAACCTAATTTTACTAGTGTTTTTGTATTTTTGGTAAATATATATTTAATGATTGAAAAAATAAGTAAGTCTGCATTCCAAAAAAATAAAAAAAGCATCTTAAGTAATTTAAATGAGAAGTCGCTATCAATGAAATACAAATTTGTGCCGTTGGAGACAATTAAATAGACTATTAATGCCCACACGTGATTTGTCTCTACAAATATTTATTACACCTCCTAATCTTTATTTGCCTAAATTAGATTCATGTTTCTTAATTATTAGATTTATTATTTAAAATTCGACTTTTCTTTATTTTAAAATTAAATTATTGAGTGTCTCTTACGCATATTATATATTTTTTTAAGAAAAAAATGATAATTTTATTAAAAAAAAATAGTATGAATATTATTTTATGCAATCATACATTTTTATGACAAATATTAAATTAATGGTAACTTCAATTGTTTCAAATACCATTTTTATATATTAATTATTTGGTGAAAATTAAGGAGTTAAAATTCAAACTTCACTAATAATTTAGAATTTATTATCTAATTGATATATTATAATTCGTTGGTAATTAATTCATAATGTTTGATTTAGTAAATTTAAATATTTACATATTAATGTACTTATAGAGTTATAAAGATTTAGTTGAATTTTATTTCAATAAATTATTACTATCTTAACAAAAAAAAAAAATTCATTATATTTAAATTTTTTTAATTACAATAAATTAGTATTTAATATAACTTTTTAATTTAATTAAAAGGAAAGTACGTATTTATCATATGAAATAATTGATAAATAGATGAGCTAATTGATTATTAAGAAAATTAGGCATGATAAATAGCTAATTATCTATATTCAAGTCTTAGGTATTGTTTGAATGACGGTTCAATAATGATGATATAATTTTTTCATGATTTTTTTTTCTGTTTGCTTGCATTTTTAAACACATGATTTAATTTTTTAGTGGTTGAATCATAGTTTTCAAAATTATAATTTTTTTCATATTTTCAAAGCATCGATTGGGTAATTTTATGATAGTTTGATAATTTTTTTTATTTATACTATTAATTTTTTTATTATTTATAACATTACTCTTCTCTTTAATTTTTTTCTAATACTTTTTCTTATATCCTTTTTCATCTTTTCAAAATATTGTATATAAATATATATTTAATTATATGTATATATTTTTTATATATAAACATATATTTATATATCTATATTTTTAATTATATATATTTTATTACATAAATATATAAATTTATATATGTATATATGTAATTATATATAAATACATATATAATTAAATATATAAATAACCAATTATACCTGACATTAATAAATTCTCATTCTCATCCAAGTCATCCAATCAGAATATTAAGCTATACTAACTCTACTTTGTTCCTCACCTCTAACTCTCATGCTTCATCCAAAAAACCAAAAAAAAAAAAAAAGTAATTCTTCCATACTTATTCTCACTCGTTCCATCAAGAAATACTTTTTTCTTCCAATTTTAGATGAGCTATGAATATAAGATTTTTGGTTAAATATATACATCACATCAATACCCAAACAAATTTATACAGAACACAAGTTAAAAAAACCCCAAAATTTTATTTTATAATATTACGCAATGAAGGAATGATGTGACTGCTATAACTCAATGAAGAATCCTATTGCGGCAAGCAAATCCCACATGGCGAGGTAGCCTCTCCCACAAACTTACTTTCCCGAGCCGTTGAGCAAACCATTTGCCTTTCAGTCTTTCCTTCCAGATCTTTCAGGGTGAATCTCATACCATTTACCCATGACTGTAAAGCACATGGAACAAGACGACCAGAAATCAGTGGTTCTAATTACAGGATGCTCGCAGGGAGGCATCGGTCATGCGTTATCACGGGCCTTTGCAGCCAAAAACTGCCAGGTGGTGGCGACGAGTAGGTCGCTGAGCTCCATGGCTGACCTGCAACAAGATCCGAGGTTTTTCCTGCAAGAACTTGATGTTTTATCAGACCAGAGTGTGCATAAGGTTCTGTCAAATGTTGTCGAAAGGTTTGGTCGTATTGATGTGTTGGTTAATAATGCTGGGATTCATTGTGTTGGTCCACTTGCAGAGGTTCCTCTTTCTGCTGTTCAAAGCACTTTCGACACCAATGTTTTCGGTAATGCCCATATTTGATTCTTCACTGTTTGCGAAATTCCTTTCATTGCAAATATATATATGTATATATGTATATATGTATATATATTGTTGTCTTTGATGGTGGGAAGGACGTTTGGCCATGATTTGTTACTTTTGCAAAAAGTTGACAGTTTGTCTCTCTTATTTGATATTCTTATATGCTAATAGTGAAACAAAGATCAAGTACTGCATAGTGCAATCCAGAGGGCACTATTAACAGCCAGATTAGTTCTATACTCCTTTTTAGGTGCTATGATAATTAGAAGAAGTTCATTTAGTGGAATCTTATGCTTTCTGTTTTGGGGATAATTGAGTATGTTAGTTAGTTTAGCATTTTATATATACAGGTATAGTGGTCAATGTTTGGGAATTCAGATTGAAGTAGTAATTATGGATTCTGAGTTAGTTAATACTGTGCGGCTATCTCCATTTTCTCTGTTATTCAGTTGCCAAACAAGATTCATTTTTTTTTTAAATAAAAAGAAGTACGTTATTATAAACAAAAGTATCAAGGACGCCCGTATACAAAATAATTACATGTCAATCAAGTGGTCAATAACTATCACAATCTCCTATAGATCTCTCATGTCATGACCCAACAAAATAGAATCAAAAGTATTAATTCATTTATCTCTAATTTTTATAAAGTTAGTTTCAATACCCTTCTCGTATTTCTTTTCTTCTACACTACCTAAAAAATGGTAAACAGAACTAAAAATAAATGTTTTTTCCTTTTACATATACCTGGCTAAGCCCACATTTCCTTACTAACAGTGTCTGTGATAACCCAATTCATTCCCATAAGCCCATACATCGTTATCCAAATATTGTAAACAGCTGGACAATTGAGCAAGATATGATTACATGTTTCCTCATCAGCTTTACATAAATAGCATCTATTTACCAAAGTGTTGCCTCTCTTTTTCAGCATATCAATTGTTAGGATATTTTCTTGAGCTGCTTCCCAAGCAAAAAATGACATTCGAGTGGGAGCTTTTGATTTCCAGATCTGCTTGTAAGGTGCTGTCAGCTCATCCCCTCTCTCTTTACATAAATAGTTGTAATATGACTTCACTGACAAGCCCTTTTGCTTGTCTAATTTCCAAATTCTGCTGTCTTTATTCTCCATCAGATTGATTCCAGCTAAATACAGAAGCAAGTTGCATTATTCTTCAACTTTCCAATCCTTCAAATTTCTTTTAACCTGAAGATTCCAACCTCTCCCCCAACTACCACTCTCATACTCTTTCTTCACCAAGATATCTCTCTCACAAGCAATGTTATAAATGTTCGGAAACCTATCCTTCAATTTACCCTCACCCTGCCATTCATCCTGCCAAAAACAAATGCCCCCCCCATTGCTAACTTGCCACCCAACACACTCCAGGAACTTACTGCCACCCTCACTGATTTTCTTCCATAGATTCACCCCGTGTGGTTTATGCTTCCCCATTCTCCCCCCACCTCGTCTCCACCACCATTTTCTATAATTTTCCTTCGTCGTTGACTAACCTCCGCAACCATTTACCTTGAAATGCACAATTCATCTTCATAATAGATCTTAGACCAAGACCCTCCCCATAAATAGACTTCTTTACATCTTCCCACTTCGCTAGATGGTACTTCCTATTCTCCTCATCATTGCCTCATAAGAATCTACATTGGATGCTCTCAAGTTT